ACTATGTGCATTGCTGTGCAACAAAGGTTTGGTTTCTTTCAGCCACTAGCAGGCAGTGCATATCAACAGGTGGAGGTAATGGAGATAATTCTGGTCACTCCAGCTTGCTTCAGTTACATCTGATTAAAAAACTTTGAATCATAGGAACAGTGAGATTGAAACTTTTAGTATAACTGTAACAATTTATAACCTCTTATGTACCTTGATACTAATAATTGGTCCATGCCTCTAGAACACAAGACGAATCTGATGGTATTTTGACACCATCAGATAAAAATGTGAGTTCAGTGTTTCACTATGCTTTATCTTTGACTCATCATGCAATCCTTTTCCATTTTTTTTGTATTGCTCCGGCTGATCTCTCAGACCCACATGGTCCATCATTCACCATTGGAAAGGCCATATGGCTGCTGTGGGGTCTGGTTTTCAACAACTCTGTGCCTGTGCAGAACCCCAAAGGCACCACCAGTAAATTCATTGTGTCAGTGTGGGCCTTCTTTGCTGTCATCTTCCTGGCCTCGTACACTGCCAACCTGGCCGCCTTTATGATCCAGGAAGAATTTGTGGACCAAGTCACTGGACTGTCTGACAAAAAGGTGGGTTTACACAAACATAGGTACACACACATACGCACATGCATAGAGGAAACTAAACACATTCGCAGTCAGGGTTGCTCTTGTAATGGATGCCAGGCCCGCGGCCAGACAAGACTCTCTGGGGAGTGCCCTCAGGCTTCACAGCCCAAACCCACTGGCCATCCCTGTCACCTCACTATCACTGCCAGCACAGCAGAGTCACAGACACACACGCATGCTGCACAGATCAAAGGCAAGAATGTGTGTAGTTTGCAGAGCTTGGCAGTGTCAGCAGAACCCCAGCCAGTCTTACACTACACTGGATACACAATGATGATGACTGATGAGTCCTCTCTGCTATCTTTCCTTCCTTGTCTGTCTCTTCTTGCCACTGTCCTCCATTCCTCTGTCCTCCCTCCTTTATTTTTTCTTCATGTTTGCCCCCACTACTACTTGAACTTTTCTTTTCTTATTTTCCTTTCTCTCGTTTCTCTCTTCCTGATGTCACTCACGCCTTTTATCTTTGCCTCTCCCCTCTGCGCTCCTCCCACACATCGGTGTAAGTCTCTTTTAACAAATGCCATATTTTTCTTGCTTTCATTCTTCTTCTCCCCTCAGTTCCAGAAGCCACACTCCTACTCCCCGCCATTTCGCTTTGGGACGGTTCCCAACGGAAGCACTGAGCGCAACATTCGGAAGAACTACCCAGATATGCACCAGTACATGACTAAGTACCACCAGACTGGTGTTGTGGATGCATTGGTCAGCCTCAAGACTGGGTAATGTAAATTTATCAAGTCAGCTGCTCTCACATTACATTGCCCTGCAGCTGAGAGTATGATTCTCAACCAGCACATGTATTTAAGAATAACCCAAACTCTTGGTGCCCAGCTTTAACTTGTGCCAAAGTACAGAGGTAGCTTTGCTCTGTGTTTCTGTTACTGACAGTAACATGTTTGCAACTGCTCATTATAAACTCCTGCTGCTGTACAAAAAAGGGACGCAGCCAAAAGAGACAAACTGTAATTTGCTCTGGAGTTGGCTACCTTTTATTCTCCCTCTGTAGCTCCCACTAATAGCAGAGCTGGTTTTCAGTTTTCAGTGTAGGCTTTGATCTTCAGGGTATTAAACATAATTTTACTTTTAGATTGTGTATTAATTATATTGATATAGCACAGCCTATGCAAAATGTTTGTTTCTAACATCTCACATTAAACTTAGTTATACAACATCAAAACTATGTAAAGAAGGTTTTCAGCTGAGTCATATGTAAACAACTTCAGAAGTAAAAATTGTCATGAAAGTCAATCTGGGGACTTGTGTTCAGGTACAAAAGAAACATAAGAGCACTATCTTCCCAAAATATACTACGCTGTTTTAAAGCTAAATTTAATAAATTAATGTACTGTATTACATTTTATTTCCCTAAGAAATATAAGCCCATAGAACAACTATAAATGTGAAGCACCCAAGTAATCTGGCTGACGCTTTTTACTGAGACCATTTTCAAGCTACAGTTTGATCTGAAGGGAGTGATTTTTACCTAATCAATGAAAAACTTTTATTATTCAATTTTACAACCAACTACAGAAGTACAGGTATTTTCCACAAAAGTTTATAATAATCAGTTATATCAATGTTGGCATAAGAAAACTAAATGGCATTTTGAAACTGTAAGTAAAACAAGTGAAGCGGAAGTAATAGAGTCGCAGAAGTAAGAAATACTTTGACCTATAGGTGGGAATTAACAGTCACATAACTCAGTGTTTTTGAGCAAATCCTGTGGAAAATTTGCAATATTGACTTTCCAGTTGCTCAAAAATTGCAGGGATCTGTTGACTTTGCGTAAATTTCTGTTATTGAAGAATCATGAAAAACTGAAGGGAAGAGACTGATATTCATGTTTAAAAAAATTAGCAGCAGTTTCAGCAAAATGGGATTCTGCAATCTATTAAATCAAAGGCCTGAATACATATGTTTTTATTTTGACCGTAAGATTTTTAAAAGTTGTAGATCCAAAATATGTAGCAAATAAAAAAAGATTGTTTTACCTGATTAGTTTTTTAGAAAATTAGTAATGTTTTACCTAATATTTATCTCTTTATTATTTCCTTACATGATTATTGTGTTTTTTTTCACCCTTTGATTTCATGCTGAATTTGAACTGGTTTTCGTCACAGAAAGCTGGACGCCTTCATTTACGATGCTGCAGTCTTGAACTACATGGCAGGCAGAGACGACGGCTGTAAGCTGGTCACCATCGGCAGCGGATACATCTTTGCCACCACAGGTTATGGGATCGCACTTCAGAAGGGATCGTATTGGAAACGTTTAGTCGATCTGGCTATACTTAGCATCATAGGAGACGGTAAGATGCTTCGTCATGTATTAGTCAGGTTTTTGAGGTTCTGTCGGTCTTTAAAGTGAACAGTCTTTGTCTTTGTCCTTATACAAAAAAAACTATCTTGTACTCCTCCTTTCCCTTTAAGAAAGCTACCAGGGTCTCATCTTAACACACCATTTCATCATCACTACTCTAAGAGGTGTGTGTATGTACATGTGTATGTGCATGCATGTGCTCACATATCCTAATATGCTTTTTTTCATACGACATATCTAAGATAAAGAAAATGCTGCAATGCTACCTGCTTCCAAAGCAGCTAATCCTGAAGCTGCATTTATATTTATTGACTCTTATTGGCTGTATCCCCAAGAGCAGAAATAAAGAAGACTGGAGATATTAGCTTCTTCAAATTCAAACAGCAACAGAAATCATTTTCTACTATGTGTGCTAATGCAAATTAAGGTTTATTTGGTATTTGAACTTTTACAATAGGCAAGTTAGAAGTGTTGGAATAGCTCTGATCATCTGTCCTACTAACTTATGTGATTTCACCAAACATGTACATGTAGAAGCTTGTTTTTTGGAGGGCAGATTTTAGCATGATTAGTTAATAATTAATTATTAGTAAATTAATTCTAAATAAAAATGCAAGTTTTTTATTTTCTTGCAAAATTGGTTTCTTTACATTAGGACTGTTAAGAGACTTGAAATGAGATGTTTGCTCCATTTATAGGTGACTAAAGTGTATGAATAGTTGGTGGCAAACAAACAGAGTAAAAACAGTGCTTCTCTAAAATGATAAAATGAAGAAAGCATTCTGTTAGATATTATGGTGTTTTTGGAAATAAAAACTTGACAAAACAAAGCTGGGCTTTGGCAAACTGCAGTAGTTGAACCTGAGACAAAGTGATTTTTTTCAAAAGTTTAAAAGTCATATATAGCATTATCCTGATAATATGAACAAAAAGTCTTATTATCGCGACAGCAAGAGTAGCTTCTAAAGTGAGCATGCTGTGTAAATATGTTCTGTTAAACTGGCATATTAAATATTTTAGTGATGGACTGTCATCAAAACTATGCTATGATAAAAATTAGTATGCTGTTTAAGAGGTCTTACCTTTCTGAGAATAACTAAATCTGAATATAAAAATGAATATAAAAACAATCCTAAAAGATTTTGGGGTATTTATCCCTTTTTCTCCCATGGTGTTTTCTGTTTTTATCCTCTTTGCTTTCATTTGATATTGCATCCACTTCATCCCTGAATTACTCTTTCTATTTGTCCCAAAATCTTTTATCTTTCATCTTTGCCATTCATCCATTTTAAGACACTTTGTTTCTCTACTTTTCCAACAGGTGAGATGGAGGAGCTGGAGGCGCAGTGGCTGACCGGGATCTGCCATAATGAAAAGAATGAGGTGATGTCCAGTCAGCTGGATGTGGACAACATGGCAGGAGTCTTCTACATGCTGGCTACAGCCATGGGCCTGTCCATCCTCACCTTCATCTCAGAGCACCTTTTCTACTGGAGGCTGAGATACTGCTTCACCGGTGTCTGCTCTGGCAGGCCGGGTATGCTCTTCACTATCAGCAGGGTGAGAGGAAATCAAACACACACAGTTAACACTTTTCCCACTGCTGGAGCCGGTTCCTCAGAATTTACCTTCAAATGTAACAGCATCAAATTTTGTTTTGATTTGCAGTGAACTGGTGTTCACCACCTCAGTTGCTGTTTGAATTTGCGGCTGTGAAAACCATTTATTTGCCAAATTCTGTGTGTGTGTATGTGTGTGTGTGTGTGCGCGTGTGTGTGTGTGTGTGTGGTAAAGAGGAAAATTATTTGATTAGAGTCCAGCTGAGACCAAAATGAATTTGCTGCTCCATGGAAAGAATTGCACATAAGGGAAACAAAACTACTAAAATCATAATATTAGTATCATTAGGTACACAACAGGCAACGGTGGCAATGGTAGCAACGGCGGTAGGAGTTTACCCTGCATTTGGCCTACTGCTGGTTTGATTCCCAGTCTGCATCCTCGTCGTTTGCATCTCTGGGCAAGACACTTCTGGTGTTGGTGCAAAATATACAGCCTTGCTTCTGTCAGCCTTCAGCCATCATCAGCGTATGAATGAGCCGTTTGAGATTTCAATTGAAGATATAAAGGGCTGAATAAATCAAATGAATCAGACACCCTCAGACAGAGGGTGCTGAAACGCCTTTGAATCCCTGCTGGTAGACATAACAGATTCAAAACTTAATTTGTCCCAACATCAGTCAGATTGTTAAATAAAGTAGGAACATACAGACCAGGCTTCTGATGCTCTGGTCTGATTTGCTGGTTCATTTACTTGCTGGAATGCATGTAGGAATGTGCAATATGTGTTTTTCTATTTTATTGTGGGTGTTATGTGCTTTGGGCACATTATGATTGTTTTTGTCTATTTTTTTCTAGATTGTTTTGTTTATAGACTTTAGTTAAATGACTTTTTCCCTTGTTTTTGATATATTTAGGAGTTTGAATAATTTTTTATTTTTGTAATTAATTCAATTACGTTTAGTTGTAGCGCTGTTGGCCCGTCTATATATAGACTGGATTCAACGCACGTGTGTGTGTAGACCCGCCCCTTTGTCTTGCTTCTTCTCGCTCCATAACCACCAGGGATGCGTCTTGTTGAGGTGCACGCATGAAACCAGTGGCTGTAGGCTGCAGCTAATGTCTCCAGCCTGCCAAGCGATAGTTCTGTTAGCCTTTGTTTGTTTGCTTTTTTGTTGTGATTTTGGCCTGGTGGGACCGGTTGTCCTGTTTTTGATTTGTTCTTTTGCAATAGATACTTTTTTGCTTTAGTCTGGTACTAGTAGGGGCTTCGATGGCCCTGTGTAGGGGTTGGCCCACACAGGGCCAACCTGTGGCCCCTGTATTTTTTTTGATTGTTTTTTTTGATTGGCTCACCAGGTCCATCTTTCCTGTTAATACTTTTGTTTTTTGTTTTTTTTGGGGGGACGCGGGGTTTGAGGATATTTAACTCTCTTTTTTCTTCTTCACAGAAAATCACAGCAGCTGAAGCAAAAGAAAATTCCAAAAGTGTTTTAAAATAAAATAACTTTTGAACCCTCATTCTTGCATCCATGTCCTCAAATATGTTGTGCCCTTTTTGGATGTGCCTCAACACATCCAAACACATTTGTGTACTGTGCCTCAGTACACAAATGTCTTTCATTGTTGATTGACAGCTGGCTGCATTTGCTGATTTACTCCTGATTTACTTCACTGAAAACTTCAAACATCATAGTTTAGCTGTGGACCGTGAACATGCCTCCTGCTGGGACGGAGGAGCTAGTATGAATATAATCAGGAGCAGCACCAGGAACACGTTAAGTTTAGCAGCAGAATAAGAACAGCTGTGATTTAGCAGTGCTGCTAGCAGCTGGTTGCTCTGAAGAGAAACAATGATGCTGTGCTGTGTTTCTGTTGGAGCTGCGGTTTTGCGCTGACAAATACTGGGACTACATAATATTAGCTTGTGAATTTTATTTTTACTTTAGTTAATAAAAAACAATAATAAAGTTTATGCATGGCTATTGGTTTACATCTTTTGACTGCATTATCTAAATCTAAAATGTTGCACATTTAATAACAAGTGCCAGAATGTAATTATATTTATATGTATGCCGAAATAACCAGCTGATCTGAGTCTTTGTCATTTTGTTTGGACCAGCAAAGAATTTCTATAAAACTTTTTAAATATCTGGGTTTGGGGCTGCACAGTGGCGCAGTTGGTAGAGCTGTTGCCGTGCAGCAAGAAGGTTCTAGGTTCAATTCCCCGCCCCGGTCTTTCTGCATGGAGTTTGCATGTTCTCCCTGTGCATGCGTGGGTTTTCTCCGGGTACTCCGGTTTCCTCCCACAGTCCAAAAAACATGACTGTTAGGTTAATTGGTCTGTCTAAATTGCCCCTAGGTGTGTGTGTGCGCATGGTTGTGTGTCTGTGTTGCCCTGCGACAGACTGGCAACCTGTCCAGGATGTACCCCACCTCTCGCCTGGAACGTTAGCTGGAGATAGGCACCAGCACCCCCCCCGACCCCACTGAGGGACAAGGGTGTTCAGAAAATGGATGGATGGATATCTGGGTTTATTTTAGTCCATCAGAACCAGAACCTGAAGGTTCTCCATTAATGAATGTTTCTGCAAATATCAGTGGAGAGTTGACCACAGTTGCTGCTGCTCATGCCCCCCCCCCCCCCCCCCCCCCCCCACAAAAGAGGGAAAAAGAGGGAAAAGGAAAAAAACACACCCCAACT